CATTAGGCCGTGATATTGCTGGAATATTGCTAAAAGCGGCGTAAAACCACACTCACTCACTCCTCTCTTGACCTTCTGATGTCCCCCGCCGTGATATTGCTAGAATATTGCTAAAAGCGGCGTAAAACCAAACTCACTCTCACCTCTCTTGACCTTCTGGTGTCCCCCGCCGTGATATTGCTGGAATATTGCTAAAAGCGGCGTAAAACCAAACTCACTCACTCCTCTCTTGACGTATCATAAGTAGCATGAAGATCGTATTGGGTCGCGATCACCTTCCAGTTTAAACAGAGATTACTGTAAATATTCTTGGACCTTCGTGTCCTCAAAGGCCTAGGTAAAATTTCAAAACTGCTAAATAGTTTGAATTAAGACACTGCATAGCAACAGAATATCAACTCAATTTTCAGATGACAGTGATTATTCTTATGATATTAACACCTCGGAAACTATAGCTTTAGCAGATAGACATACCGTAAATTCTTGAAAAGACGCCCGGGCATCTGTGTATGTCTTATACCCGGAGTCAAGGGCAGGCGTCTAATCTATTAATTACGGTAAACATTTTTAATTTCAGTGAAGATGGGAGGTGTAATTTGAACAAAACGTGTGTGGTTTGTTTTTTGTGTGATAACGGCTTTCGCTTCGATATCACGTTATTGAGTACCTAAAGGATCATATCTATGTTTAGAGATATACTTTTCACAGTTCATTTGCTTATCTTTCAAGAAGCATGATTTCAGCAGCATTTAGAGAACACAAGTTATTTCAACATATTTATATTGCTGTAATTTGACGAAACATGTTTTGACAGAAACATAGCAATTCGTAACTTAATTGCTAACATCATCCTTTGACAAGACCATTATAACAAAACTTACAATGTACGTGAAACCATCTCACAGTACTGTTAAAAGAGTGTTAGTATCTACTAACTTCACTAACCATCTTACAGTACTGTTAAAAGAGTGTTAGTATCCACTAACTTCACTAACCATCTTACAGTACTGTTAAAAGAGTGTTAGTATCCACTAAGTTCACTAACCATCTTACAGTACTGTTAAAAGAGTGTTAGTATCCACTAACTTCACTAACCATCTTACAGTACTGTTAAAAGAGTGTTAGTATCCACTAACTTCACTAACCATCTCACAGTACTGTTCAAAGAGTGTTAGTATCCACTTACTATCTTACAGTACTGTTAAAAGAGTGTTAGTATCCACTAACTTCACTAACCATCTCACAGTACTGTTAAAAGAGTGTTAGTATCCACTAACTTCACTAACCATCTTACAGTACTGTTAAAAGAGTGTTAGTATCCACTAACTTCACTAACCATCTCACAGTACTGTTAAAAGAGTGTTAGTATCCACTAACTTCACTAACCATCTTACAGTACTGTTAAAAGAGTGTTAGTATCCACTAAGTTCACTAACCATCTTACAGTACTGTTAAAAGAGTGTTAGTATCCACTAACTTCACTAACCATCTTACAGTACTGTTAAAAGAGTGTTAGTATCCACTAACTATCTTACAGTACTGTTAAAAGAGTGTTAGTATCCACTAACTTCACTAACCATCTCACAGTACTGTTAAAAGAGTGTTAGTGTCCACTAAGTTCACTAACCATCTTACAGTACTGTTAAAAGGGTGTTATTATCCACTAACCATCTCACAGTACTGTTAAAAGGGTGTTAGTATCCACTAAGTTCACTAACCATCTCACAGTACTGTTAAAAGAGTGTTAGTATCCACTAACTTAACTAACCATTCGCGGGATGTCGTCTGCTTCTCGGTTGCAGGAAATGAGCAAATGGAGACATTATGGTATTGGTTTTGTCCAGGCGTCTGTTCAATGTAGACATCTATTATATTCATTTCGCGAGTCTGTCAGACCCGGTGTGCTGATCAAGGCAGACATCTTTTTTTGGGGATTTACGGTATAGGCAAATCCTCATGCTCAAAGCCATGTAAGATTACTAAGACTGAAGACCCGTGAAGATCCGGGGTAGAAAAGGTCTTCAGCAAGTTGTCACATATCTCTTCCCGCAGACCTTGGTACTTTTCTTAAAGCTCGTGCACTTTACAAAAGAAGAGTTCTAAATGATTTAGATGAAGCTTAAGAACATATGCTTCCAGGTTAAATAGATTTACTCCTATTTCATCTGTATGCGCAAGTCATAGGTATCAGTATCAATAAATTCAGAATATGTGTAATCGGGAAACAGTGACGCAGAAATAACTCGTGATCAGAAAGAAATCCTATTGGCTGATACGTTTGAAAACGTCAGCAGTCCAGCTAATTTTATGGATTCATTCAGAGAATATAAGGAATCGTTTGAAAACAGATTTCTCAAGATGTTTCTGTTCCGCAAGCCCAAACTGATTCTGATCTCCACATGCCTATTACCTTACATGAACACAAAGAAGCATTTGCATGTAAGTAAAATACATGTACATCTCCAGGTGCTGCCTATCTCCGCTGAGATGTCAAAACATATGCGTGATTGGGTAATTGATGCCATCAGAGTCGAAGAGTGAGTGAGTGAGTATGGTTTTTTTTAGCAATATTCCAGCAATATCACGGCGGGGGACACTAGAAATGGGCTTCACACATTGAACCCATGTCGGGAATCGAACCCTGGCTTTCGGCTCGACGAGAGAACGTTTTACCACTAGGCTACCCGACCGCCCCTTCAGAGTCGAAGAACTGGTAGAGACATGACATGACTCGTGTACCCAGACTACGATAACATCCTACTGTTCCAGACACAGACACCAAGCCGACATCTTTCACTTCTAATCTCTGCAAAATCATGGAGCGTATTGTTACTTATCGTTTGAATTATCATTTCGAGAGTAACACACTACTGTCAAGAATTTAATCGGGTTTCCGTTCAGTAAACGTTTCCTGTGTTTGATCCGTAGGTTCGTCTTCAGACCTAAGCTTAAAAGCTATAACATATCATGAATACATGATGTACCTGTTTCCTGTAAAGCCTTGTGGCATGGAGTGAGTGAGCTGGGTTTAACGCTGTTTTTAACAGTATTCCAGTTATATCATTGCGTGTCAGCTTAATGTGGGAAGAAAACCCCAAGTGATGCAGGTCTCAGACGTTTACCACTTCGGTGAACCCCACGAGCACGGGTATGGTGCTGACAAACCTAGAAACATAATCGGGGCGAACCAGGATTTGAACCAACAATCATAGGTTTCTGGCGTGCCCAAGGGACGCAACTCTGCACAGCGAATGGTGGCGCCTTAGAAGACTGGGCCACCCGTGCCCCCCTTATGTCATGGAGGGGAGACAAGACCTTCAGTACAAACTGCAATATCTCGTGTAACCGGAAACATGCGGAGGTGGCTTAGAACCACTGAAATCTAAATAGCTCAAAACTATTCAAGCATGCATGTAATAGGTCCTTTTGTCTATTCTTTAACACCGCAATCTGCAATATTCCGTCTTTATGACGGCGACTTGTAAATAATCGAGTCTGGACCAGACAATCCAGTGATTGATATTTTGAGCAACGGTCCACGCGGTCTGGGTACGATGACATGCAATCAACCAAGTCACCGAGACCGACCACCCGATCCATCTGGTCACTTCTTACGACCGGTATAGGTTGCTGAGGACCAATTTTAACTCGGCATCGCCAGGGGTGTATATGACAGATACACCTCAGGGAAATGTCATCAGTCCCACATTGTTCAATGTAATGGTTAATGACATTAATGTACATGACTCTCAACTGCCTCCGCCGATGATGGGTCATTTTGAAGACGAACAGGAAATTTTCAGTTTGTGAACGAGTCTACACAAAAATGAGTTAAATAATTGATAGATGGTGTTTCAGATCGGGGTCATTTTCCCGATGCGAGTCAGTAACTGACTGTTGACACTGGACTTTTATAGACAGGTAACTCCCTTGCCTCGGGAAGATGGAAGAGGATCCCAATTGGTGCCCTTTGGGATGCATACCCCTTGCATAAATGACTTACCACCAAATTTTGCATAGATGTTATCAATGAGGAAGTCCAGCATTTCACATATTGTTCTCTCAGTAAACTTCAGATGGCAGTCGTTTGAATTCTTACAGGAGTAAGAGAATTCATGTTTTAGCCTCGCTGTCATGCTGGAAATACAAGAATTCTGACACTCGTTTCGTAAAATCCGTATACCACACACGCTCACATAATAATCTCTGTAACTGGCCAATCTGGTTTGAGAATTTTTCACACCTTGAACAAAGGCAATGACGTGTATTACATGTCTTTAATATATTGCCTCGAGATGCATCACATGTCTTTGTTGAAATGTTTGGAATTTAATCAAGGGTACCACTCGGAAAATTGTATGTATACTTGACTTTTAACGTTGCTGTGAAATAATTGTGAACGTTCTGAACTACAGTGAATTTCTTTAATGCCAAACAAGAAACACAGATATATCGGAAGCTGTCAAACAATTACATTAACAGACAGAAAATGCTGAAAGTTAAAACACGCGAAGAGACAGAAATCAAATCACATGCTTTTTATGTTTCATTCATAAACATACGAGCATTTGTAATCAAGTATAAGGAAAAGAATTAGTCTATCACTACAAAACGTGATGAAATAAACACATCAAAATGCCAAATTATGATGTATATTTTAACAACGACATTTACAAGACATCAAGCAGATGCACGGGCAGAGGAAAGCCTTCGTCAAAGAGGGGATAACTCTTTCAGTTTGACAGAGTTACTTCCCTTAGACCGAACCCTCGCGAATTCTGCATCACCATGTCATAGGGGTGAATTATGACAACTTAATATAAGTTGCATGTCTCTGTCCAAACTTCAAGAGTTGTTGTCCAACCCTAGGTGAGCTGCACTGCTTGGTTGTAGGATATCGAGATGTTTCTTAAGATAGCATGTCTTTGACCCATATAGCCATCGTTGATCGAGATATTGCAATTGTCCCGAGAAGGTGATGGGTCAATGATATGCAGTCCAAAGTCGCGACCACGAAATGTCAAAAACTCCCGGCGCGTTTCTCTGCGTGCCCGGTCACCCAGATAGTGACGAGTCATCGTTCACAAAAGACGTAGTTCGCACAGCGCGACATTGTACGCCTTAGACATTGGCCTTTGTAACCAGAGCGAGAGTGGTATTGTATAACAAATTTCATGAGTAGTCGAGTCACCGTATATAGTCGCTTATATTTAACCTGCCGCAAGTGCAGACATAGTGACGTGTGGAGGTCGGTCTATAATTAACAGAAATATGACCAGACTGTCCTTTGTAATGTTTTGTTTTGTCACAGGTGTTCAATACAACCTAGAATTTGTCATTATATCCACGTCTCTTTACGTATATGTCAATAATTGACTGTTTATAACAGGTGTTGAAAACTAGGGACGAACTGTAACAAAAACTTTGAAAGACATCACACAATGAACCATGTAAACAGCTCATAAAACAACCCTTTATGACGTGCGTAAGTTCGGTGTCTAGCAGCAGTATTCATACAACTTTATGTCTGTAGGCCGTGAATGGCGGCGGGTAGAGCCAGCTACACCGTCGTGGTTGCAGTTGTAGTAGCAGTCGTAGCTTTCTACGGGTTGGTATTGCCTCACTCAGCTTACAGTAACCTCTCTCTTTGCTTGTTCACAGTCTACTCTGCATGTAACAAATTCATTTATCAAAAAGGCTAAATCAACCCTAGTTCTAATCCAACTTGAGAAATAGTTAATGTTCTAGCCAGAGTGACCTTAGTTGTAACAAACTGATGATGTGGGCTCCTTTGAATTTGTTATATCTGGAGATGACTGTAATTAATTAGTTATTTTTTTAAATTCATTCATGACAGTTATGTTGAAACTTCACAGTTTAGGTATAATACGTTACATACACTTGTAGGCTGCATAAGATGTCTTCAGTTATTTTGAACTGATTATACAGACACTATAAACAGTCTTATTTCAACTACCGTATTCGACGTAATAAGCGCCCAGGGCGCTCTCAAAATTAGGAATAGGGGGCTCTTATTAGAATATTATTTTGGTGAAAAAAACGAGTTGAAAGATGAATTTCGTGGTTTTTGCTTACAGCCTGAAATGTTTATGTACGACAGATATATTTTTCCAGAATTAAATTGCCCATAATTAAGGATGCATATAACACAAGAGTGTGTATTATATGCGAATAAATAAGTCTTGTGTACATTGATCAATTGGAAGGGGTACTAATTGGGATTGTTCACTTGCCAATATATTAGTAAATATTGCTGTGGGCGCTTATTGTAGTGGGGTGCTTATTACGTCGAATACGGTATCCTCAATAACAAATGTGGGTCCATACACTTTTCACAGCACTGACTGACACTGAATATCAGCCTACAGGTTTCAGTGACAACTGGTGCCAGGCCACTAGGTCTCTAGGTTGCATCCTGGCAGTCCTGCAGGCACATCGTCATTGCAGTATACCAATGTCAGGATGAGCACATTGTTAAATTCTATACTTGCACTTCAAGTTTCATGTCCTTGTTTCTGCTTCTGTGTCCTGGTTATCAGCTTTGTTTTTAAAGATGGGGCCAAATATTACAGATGTGTAACAACAGCCTGTAAAAAATCAAGTCAGACAATCCAGTGATTGATATAATGAGCAACAATCCATGCCTTCAGGGTGCGATGACACATAATAAGCCAAGTTGCCAAGTTGGATAACCCAATCGATTATGTCACCTCTTAGAACCAGCATAGGTTGATGGTGACCTAATCGGACCCAGAGTCCCAATTGGATGTCGTGTCGGCTAATGCAGAGAATCCTTGTTTTGCAGCCTCCCTGCAATGGGGTTGTCCCGTGTGTTGCTGGGCGTGGCTGGGGTTGCTGCGGGGGCAGCCATCTTGTGCAACCTGCCAACCAACCCATTTTTACCGACGCCAGTGAAAGCAACACTGCCATACTTGTCTGGGATCACTCTGAAGACAATAGAAGAGAAACCACGAGAATTCCAGGTGATCATCTGATTGCTCACTGTAGAAGTGGGAGAGTCGTATCTGAAATTAATCTTCCAGGCTTATTTATCATCAGACTATTTAGAGTGAGTGAGAATGTTGTTTTACACTGCAGTCAGATTTATTTCAGCAATGTCACTGAAGCCTGTAAAGTATCTTGAAACTAGAGTCTTGTCCACACATTGGTAGCTGACATGGGAAACAATTCCTGTTGTCAGGGTAACACAGTCAGCCAACTCATGCATTGCAAGCACCCAATTCTCATTAGCCGGCTGTGAGTGGGGTATTGGAGACCTATTATACCCTTATCCCCATTGGCAGTGCAGAAAAAGGGATTTTATGCTTTTTCATATAAAATGGGAGGTAACTCTTGCAAGTTTAGGGCATAAAGTTTCCAGTACCCAATGACAGGATCAGACCACATCAGCAAAGCGTGGACAGTTCTCTGATCCATCTTGTGGGAAGCACATCAGCGATGTGCCCTGTCTGTGTCGTAGCCCCATCTTGTGGGAAGCACATCAGCGATGTGCCCTGTCTGTATCGTACCCCCATCTTGTGGGAAGTACGACTGCGATGTGCCCCGCCTGTATCGTAGCCCCATCTTGTGGAAAGCACCCCTGCTATGTGCCCCGCCTGTATCGAAGCCCCATCTTGTGTGAAGCACATCTGCTCTGTTCCCCGCCTGTGTCGTACCCCCATCTTGTGGGAAGCACGTCTGCTCTGTTCCCCCGCCTGTGTCGTAGCCCCATCTTGTGTGAAGCATAGGCCCCACCTGTGTCGTAGCCCCATCTTGTCTGAAGCATGTCTGCTCTGTTCCCCGCCTGTGTCGTAGCCCCATCTTGTGTGAAGTATGTCTGCTCTGTTCCCCGCCTGTGTCGTAGCCCCATCTTGTGTGAAGTATGTCTGCTGTTCCCCGCCTGTGTCGTAGCCCCATCTTGTGTGGAGCATTTGCCCTGCCTGTATCGTAGCCCCATCTTGTGGGAAGCACGTCTGCTCTGTTCCCCGCCTGTGTCGTAGCCCCATCTTGTGTGAAGTATGTCTGCTCTGTTCCCAAGCTGTGTCGTAGCCCCATCTTGTGTGAAGCTTCAAGCATGTGCCCCACCTGTGTCGTAGCCCCATCTTGTGTGAAGCACGTCTGCTCTGTTCCCCGCCTGTGTCGTAGCCCCATCTTGTGTGAAGTATGTCTGCTCTGTTCCCCGCCTGTGTCGTAGCCCCATCTTGTGTGAAGTATGTCTGCTGTTCCCCGCCTGTGTCGTAGCCCCATCTTGTGTGGAGCATTTGCCCTGCCTGTATCGTAGCCCCATCTTGTGGGAAGCACGTCTGCTCTGTTCCCCGCCTGTGTCGTATCCCCATCTTGTGTGAAGCATAGGCCCCGCCTGTGTTGTAGCCCCATCTTGTGGGAAGCATGTCTGCTCTGTTCACCGCCTGTGTCGTAGCCCCATCTTGTGTGAAGCATAGGCCCCACCTGTGTCGTAGCCCCATCTTGTCTGAAGCACGTCTGCTCTGTGCCCTGCCTGTGTCGTATCCCCATCTTGTGGGAAGCATGTCTGCTCTGTTCCCTGCCTGTATCGTAGCCCCATCTTGTGTGAAGCATGTCTGCTCTGTTCCCCGCCTGTGTCGTAGCCCCATCTTGTGTGAAGCATAGGCCCCACCTGTGTCGTAGCCCCATCTTGTCTGAAGCACGTCTGCTCTGTGCCCTGCCTGTGTCGTATCCCCATCTTGTGTGAAGAATGTCTGCTCTGTTCCCCGCCTGTGTCGTAGCCCCATCTTGTGTGAAGCTTCAAGCATGTGCCCCGCCTGTATCGTAGCCCCATCTTGTGTGAAGCACGTCTGCTCTGTTCCCCGCCTGTGTCGTAGCCCCATCTTGTGTGAAGTATGTCTGCTCTGTTCCCCGCCTGTGTCGTAGCCCCATCTTGTGTGAAGCTTCAAGCATGTGCCCCGCCTGTGTCGTAGCCCCATCTTGTGTGAAGCACGTCTGCTCTGTTCCCCGCCTGTGTCGTAGCCCCATCTTGTGTGAAGTATGTCTGCTCTGTTCCCCGCCTGTGTCGTAGCCCCATCTTGTGTGAAGTATGTCTGCTGTTCCCCGCCTGTGTCGTAGCCCCATCTTGTGTGGAGCATTTGCCCTGCCTGTATCGTAGCCCCATCTTGTGGGAAGCACGTCTGCTCTGTTCCCCACCTGTGTCGTAGCCCCATCTTGTGTGAAGCATAGGCCCCGCCTGTGTCGTAGCCCCATCTTGTCTGAAGCACGTCTGCTCTGTTCCCTGCCTGTGTCTTAGCCCCATCTTGTGTGAAGCATAGGCCCCACCTGTGTCGTAGCCCCATCTTGTCTGAAGCACGTCTGCTCTGTTCCCCGCCTGTGTCGTAGCCCCATCTTGTCTGAAGCACGTCTGCTCTGTTCCCCGCCTGTGTAGTATCCCCATCTTGTGTGAAGCACGTCTGCTCTGTTCCCTGCCTGTGTCTTAGCCCCATCTTGTGTGAAGCTTCAAGCATGTGCCCCGCCTGTGTCGTAGCCCCATCTTGTGTGAAGCACGTCTGCTCTGTTCCCCGCCTGTGTCGTAGCCCCATCTTGTGTGAAGTATGTCTGCTCTGTTCCCCGCCTGTGTCGTAGCCCCATCTTGTGTGAAGTATGTCTGCTGTTCCCCGCCTGTGTCGTAGCCCCATCTTGTGTGGAGCATTTGCCCTGCCTGTATCGTAGCCCCATCTTGTGGGAAGCACGTCTGCTCTGTTCCCCACCTGTGTCGTAGCCCCATCTTGTGTGAAGCATAGGCCCCGCCTGTGTCGTAGCCCCATCTTGTCTGAAGCACGTCTGCTCTGTTCCCTGCCTGTGTCTTAGCCCCATCTTGTGTGAAGCATAGGCCCCACCTGTGTCGTAGCCCCATCTTGTCTGAAGCACGTCTGCTCTGTTCCCCGCCTGTGTCGTAGCCCCATCTTGTCTGAAGCACGTCTGCTCTGTTCCCCGCCTGTGTAGTATCCCCATCTTGTGTGAAGCACGTCTGCTCTGTTCCCTGCCTGTGTCTTAGCCCCATCTTGTGTGAAGCATAGGCCCCACCTGTGTTGTAGCCCCATCTCTTGTGAAGCACGTCTGCTCTGTTCCCCGCCTGTGTCGTAGCCCCATCTTGTGTGAAGCACGTCTGCTCTGTTCCCTGCCTGTGTAGTTTCCCCATCTCTTGTGAAGCACGTCTGCTCTGTTCCCTGCCTGTGTCGTAGCCCCATCTCTTGTGAAGCACGTCTGCTCTGTTCCCCGCCTGTGTCGTAGCCCCATCTTGTGTGAAGCACGTCTGCTCTGTTCCCCGCCTGTGTCGTAGCCCCATCTTGTGTGAAGCACGTCTGCTCTGTTCCCCGCCTGTGTAGTATCCCCATCTTGTGTGAAGCATAGGCCCCGCCTGTGTCGTAGCCCCATCTTGTGTGAAGCACGTCTGCTCTGTTCCCCGCCTGTGTTGTAGCCCCATCTCTTGTGAAGCACGTCTGCTCTGTTCCCCGCCTGTGTCGTAGCCCCATCTTGTGTGAAGCACGTCTGCTCTGTTCCCTGCCTGTGTCGTAGCCCCATCTTGTGTGAAGCATAGGCCCCACCTGTGTCGTACCCCCATCTTGTGTGAAGCACGTCTGCTCTGTTCCCCGCCTGTGTAGTATCCCCATCTTGTGTGAAGCATAGGCCCCACCTGTGTCGTATCCCTATCTTGTGGGAAGCACGTCTGCTCTGTTCCCTGCCTGTGTCGTAGCCCCATCTTGTGTGAAGCATAGGCCCCACATGTGTCGTATCCCTATCTTGTGGGAAGCACGTCTGCTCTGTTCCCCGCCTGTGTCGTAGCCCCATCTTGTGTGAAGCATGTCTGCTCTGTTCCCCACCTGTATCGTAGCCCAATCTTGTGTGAAGCTTCAAGCATGTGCCCCGCCTGTATCGTAGCCCCATCTTGTGTGAAGCACGTCTGCTCTGTTCCCCGCCTGTGTCGTATCCCCATCTTGTGTGAAGAATGTCTGCTCTGTTCCCCGCCTGTGTCGTAGCCCCATCTTGTGTGAAGCTTCAAGCATGTGCCCCACCTGTGTCGTAGCCCCATCTTGTGTGAAGCACGTCTGCTCTGTTCCCCGCCTGTGTCGTAGCCCAATCTTGTGTGAAGCTTCAAGCATGTGCCCCGCCTGTATCGTAGCCCCATCTTGTGTGAAGCATGTCTGCTCTGTTCCCCGCCTGTGTCGTAGCCCCATCTTGTGTGAAGAATGTCTGCTCTTTTCCATGCCTGTGTCGTAGCCCCATCTTGTGTGAAGCTTCAAGCATGTGCCCCGCCTGTATCGTAGCCCCATCTTGTGTGAAGTATGTGCCCTGCCTGTGTCGTAGCCCCATCTTGTGGGAAGCACGTCTGCTCTGTTCCCCGCCTGTGTCGTAGCCCCATCTTGTGTGAAGCATGTCTGCTCTGTGCCCCACCTTTATCGTAGCCCAATCTTGTGTGAAGCTTCAAGCATGTGCCCCGCCTGTATCGTAGCCCCATCTTGTGTGAAGCATGTCTGCTCTGTTCCCCGCCTGTGTCGTAGCCCCATCTTGTGTGAAGAATGTCTGCTCTGTTCCCCGCCTGTGTCGTAGCCCCATCTTGTGTGAAGCTTCAAGCATGTGCCCCACCTGTGTCGTAGCCCCATCTTGTGTGAAGCACGTCTGCTCTGTTCCCCGCCTGTGTCGTAGCCCAATCTTGTGTGAAGCTTCAAGCATGTGCCCCGCCTGTATCGTAGCCCCATCTTGTGTGAAGCATGTCTGCTCTGTTCCCCGCCTGTGTCGTAGCCCCATCTTGTGTGAAGAATGTCTGCTCTGTTCCCCGCCTGTGTCGTAGCCCCATCTTGTGTGAAGCTTCAAGCATGTGCCCCGCCTGTATCGTAGCCCCATCTTGTGTGAAGCACGTCTGCTCTGTTCCCCGCCTGTGTCGTAGCCCCATCTTGTGTGAAGTATGTACCCTGCCTGTGTCGTAGCCCCATCTTGTGGGAAGCACGTCTGCTCTGTTCCCCGCCTGTGTCGTAGCCCCATCTTGTGTGAAGCGTGTCTGCTCTGTTCCCCGCCTGTGTCGTAGCCCCATCTTGTGTGAAGTATGTGCCCTGCCTGTATAGTAGCCCCATCTTGTGTGAAGCATAGGCCCCACCTGTGTCGTACCCCCATCTTGTGTGAAGCATGTCTGCTCTGTTTCCCGCCTGTGTCGTAGCCCAATCTTGTGTGAAGCACGTCTGCTCTGTTCCCCGCCTGTGTCGTAGCCCTTTCTTGTGGTAAGCACGTCTGCTCTGTTCCCCGCCTGTGTCGTAGCCCCATCTTGTGTGAAGCATGTCTGCTGTTCCCCGCCTGTGTCGTAGCCCCATCTTGTGTGAAGCTTCAAGCATGTGCCCCGCCTGTATCGTAGCCCCATCTTGTGTGAAGCACGTCTGCTCTGTTCCCCGCCTGTGTCGTAGCCCCATCTTGTGTGAAGTTTGTGCCCTGCCTGTGTCGTAGCCCCATCTTGTGGGAAGCACGTCTGCTCTGTTCCCCGCCTGTGTCGTAGCCCCATCTTGTGTGAAGCGTGTCTGCTCTGTTCCCCGCCTGTGTCGTAGCCCCATCTTGTGTGAAGTATGTGCCCTGCCTGTATAGTAGCCCCATCTTGTGTGAAGCATAGGCCCCACCTGTGTCGTACCCCCATCTTGTGTGAAGCATGTCTGCTCTGTTTCCCGCCTGTGTCGTAGCCCAATCTTGTGTGAAGCACGTCTGCTCTGTTCCCCGCCTGTGTCGTAGCCCTTTCTTGTGGTAAGCACGTCTGCTCTGTTCCCCGCCTGTGTCGTAGCCCCATCTTGTGTGAAGCATGTCTGCTGTTCCCCGCCTGTCGTAGCCCCAAGTTGTGGTGTAGTTAGATTATTGGTTGCATATTCGGGGCTCAATACATATGCTGACAACTAGACAAAGGCTGGAGAAAGTGAGCCCTGATGCCATTTTCATGTTCAACTGGCCCTTAGGGTCTATGAATGTACCTGAAAGCTACCGTTACTATGGTATCGTTATCTGAGCATTGCTGGCTTCTCTTTTTACTGGCTTGCTTCAATGGTTGAAATAGGCGACTACAAACTAAAGCTGTAATCACAAGGGTTGGTGGGGTAGCCAATTGTTTAAAACATTTGCTTGTCATGCCGAAGGTCTGGGTTTGATTCCCCATATAGGTACAATGTGTGAAATCCATTTCTGGTGTCTCCCGCCATGATATTGCTGGAACATTGCTTCGAGTGGCTTTAAACCATACTCACTTACTGTATTCACAAGGGATGGAGGAACGTTACTTACACTAGTCAGTGCAGTATTATCACTGATGAATGTCAAGGGTTCTCTTCATTCAAATTTACCATGTTAAAGTTACACATAGTTTGTTCTACCTCACCTGACTTCACCTGAAAATCCAATGCAGTTTTTAGTCTCAGCAATGTTTACAAGATATCTATGAACTACAAAGAAGGGTGTATTATCTTGATTATGCTCATGAAAATATAGATTCCATGAAATAAATGTTTCGTGTCATGTGTGATAATTCTAACCACTGACTTCCTCCGTCTGTGTCTCATTCCAGGCCAAAGCATTGTGGGAGAAAAGAGGTGCAGTCATAATGGCAGTGCGGCGACCCGGATGACCTTTGTGTCGGGAGGTGTGTTGGGGCCATGTTGACTTTATGCTTGTTTCATATCATGTACCTTTTAATGAGTCTTGTAAAATTAATCTAACAGAAGCATATGTAGCACATGGCAAGTGACTTTGTTCGAAATGTACCTTTGTTCACCCAGCTATGAACTTCCCAGGGAGCTGAGAATGAAAATGGAGCGCACACTGATTCATTGACCGGGGTAATGATGTAGCACTTTGAGAATGCTTTAGGGCATGGATTTGGCATATTGTGCACAGTATTTTTATAGCACCTGACCTATCCGCTTTTGCCCCCTTCTACACACGTCCATCCATCCACCCATGCTCTCCTTGACCCTCTCTCCTCAGTCTACCAATCCATCACACTCTTCCCCCAGTAACTTGCTTTCCTGCTTATTCACCCCCTATCTTTTCTCCCACTTATACACTCACTCCCAAGTACTCATGCTCTCGCACACCTATCCATCCACTCATCCCTCAGCACCCACGTACCCAGTTTCCCACTGTGTCCTCCTCTATTGCAGGAGGCCCAAGGGCTGTCCTCCCCCTGGCTCCACTCTCCGTGAACCCACGTACCCAGTTTTCCACTGTGTCCTCCTCTATTGCAGGAGGCCCAAGGGCTGTCCTCCCCCTGGCTCCACTCTCCGTGAGCACCCTCGTACCCAGTTTCCCACTGTGTCCTCCTCTATTGCAGGAGGCCCAAGGGCTGTCCTCCCCCTGGGTCCCCTCGCCCTGAGCACCCTCGTACCCAGTTTCCCACTGTGTCCTCCTCTATTGCAGGAGGCCCAAGGGCTGTCCTCCCCCTGGCTCCACTCTCTGTGAGCACCCTCGTACCCAGTTTCCCACTGTGTCCTTCTCTATTGCAGGAGGCCCAAGGGCTGTCCTCCCCCTGGCTCCACTCTCCGTGAGCACCCTCGTACCCAGTTTCCCACTGTGTCCTCCTCTATTGCAGGAGGCCCAAGGGCTGTCCTCCCCCTGGCTCCACTCTCTGTGAGCACCCTCGTACCCAGTTTCCCACTGTGTCCTCCTCTATTGCAGGAGGCCCAAGGGCTGTCCTCCCCCTGGCTCCACTCTCCGTGAGCACCCTCGTACCCAGTTTCCCACTGTGTCCTCCTCTATTGCAGGAGGCCAAAGGGCTGTCCTCCCTCAAGACGGAGCTTGATGCCCAAGGAGTGGCTCTGCATGCTGTTGTGCATGAGACCCTTGGAGTCAAAGAGTTCCGACCCTTTTTCAAAGGCGATGTCTTCCTGGACAAGGAGGTAATTCTTGTGGTGTTATATACCCGTTAACATCTTTATTAATAAGGATGGAACAAATATCCAATCAATCAATAACTCTACTGATCATATTACAAGACAATGGAGTTTTGTTCTGCAGTATGAAAACAAATCTGGAAAACAATTTGTTTTAATGTGAGCCACTAATTTCTAATGTAGACGTCTGTAACCAGCTGATGGGGTGTTCAAAAGTGGTTAATTGACCCTTTGGTGCTGAAATAAATAAAGTTTAGAAGTGCCTGCATCGGAATAGTCTGACATGAATTTTACGATGTTTGTTTTATTGCAGCGCAAGTTTTATGGTCCAACAGAGCGATGGATGTTGTTTTCGGCATTACTAAGAGCTAAAGTGTGGATGAACATTATTTCCAACCGACAGAGCGGGGTGAAAGGCAACATGATTGGTGAAGGAAGAATTCTAGGAGGTGTGTGCTGCCTTTCAAGTAGATTGTCATCATTTGTCCTATTTCTCTATGACCATGCCATCTATTATGTTGAAACTCATATTTTATCAGAAGTCTTTGGAACCTACTCACAAGTATGTTGATATAAGGAAGTACAAGATGGTTTGTTTACTGCTAGTCAGTAAGTCAAAATCCTCAATCTGGCAGATGATAAACACTTCATACAGCCACTAGTGGTTAGAAATTTTAAGTACTGGAACACTTATCCTATCTCCAACACTTTATGCTTGTATCTGTTTCAGGAGTGTTCGTGGTTGGCCCAGGAGAACAAGGAATATTGTTCGAACACAGGGAGAAAGAATTTGGAGATTATGCTAACCTTACAGAAGTAATGGATGCAGTAAAGCAAATTAAGCAATAAACATTTTGTTATTTCAGTGGACATTGAATTTGTATGTGTGAGAAGTGTATTTTAAGACTATATCAAGCGATATATAACATGGGTGAGTCTTATCACCACCAACCATCTCATCAGCTGTTGCACGGTCATGGAATGAAGTCTCAGGTCAAAGGTTACCTTCCTGAGATGGAGGAAGAAAGACCATGGTAACAGCTGTAGAGCTGTATGGAGTTGTCTCATTTATGTGAATATCAAACTTATTTAATAAAATTACCTTTAATGATTTGTATATTGTTTCATCCTTTCCAACAGATGATTACAAAATGTCATTTTCTTATGTTTTTTGTTATGATTGTTTTGTTTTTTTGTTTAACGCCACACTCAGCAATATTCCAGCTACATGACAGCGGTCTGTAAATAGTCGAGTCTGGACCAGACAATCCAGTGACTGACACCATGAGCATCGATCCATGCATTTGTGATCTATGACATGCATCAACCAAGTCTGACCACCCAATCCTGTTAGTCGCCTCTTATGACAGGCATGGGTTGCTAAAGACCTCAATATTTCTTGTTCATGTACATGCTCAGGGTGGGTCCCTTGAAATGTTTTGACGGAGAAAACATATCTACACTGTGGCATCTTTAATGAGTAATAAGTGCCCCAACTGAAGGAACTTTGTCTTCATCTCAACTAATATTGGGTCAGTGTCCAACTTGAGTTACCACAGGTGTCAAGAGGCTGTGCTCTGCAGTCTGGGGCCTATTTCAAGTCTAGGTCCAGACATTGTGATTTATAGCTGTGTGTGAAACCAATACATTCTTCTGTTTAATCATAAACTGCTAAACTCATACACATCTTCAGTGGGGAACGATTTGAATAATAAATTCCAGCATTTCCAATTTACCCAAACATCTTCCTCCTGTAGCCGCAAGGTAATGGCTATACATATTTATCCTCCAGCCACGAATTCGCGCAGGGGATATAGGAATGGAGTATGGCCATCCATCCTTCTGCATCCCAATGGGGACAAGTTTTTTTAAGTTTAAATGGAGAAATTAAAGTTTACACAGATGTTACTGGTCATGATCTTAAATTATTTCCAAAATAGGTTCTTAAATTCAGTTATGGCCCCTGCTCCATGCTTTGCAACTTTATGCATATGAAATGGGGACTAATTTTCTCAAAAATGACAAGTTCCATGAATATAGGTTTGCATGCTTTTGTAAGAGAAACTTGTCAAGACTGTCTTAAAAAAAAAATTTTTTAAATTCCATGTTATTCATAGTCACTTAAGTTATATTAATGAAGCATTGCAAGCTTATCTAAAAGGATCTATACATACAAGACATTATTCTAAAATAGGTGCCATAAATTTTCTATTCCAGAGAAGGGGCCTTTATGTGTGTATTAATTTCAATCTATTCCATATTATTCACTATTGTACAAACAAGATTCTAAGGAGGCCCCATGGCTGGGGAGGGGACGTGTGTGGCCCAGTTGTCCAAGGTGAAAAAAACTCACTGTGCAGAGTTGCATCCCTTGCGCAGAAACCTATGATCGTGGTTTGAGATCGTGTCTGAGACCTGCACCACTTTTAGCTTTCCTCCCACATTAAGCTGCAATACTGAGATACAACTGGAATATTGTGGTGTTAAACCAAACACACTCACTCACTGTTGGTGGAGGATAGTGATAACACTGTTTTCTTGTTATATTTTACAATGGTGGAACTCCATGATCAAATTGAAGACAGTTAACTTTCTAAGCCCTTTGGTAGTTTTGCAAACTTTGTTCAACCTTCACTTTTTAATGAATGAATTTTCAATACAAGGAATTTCATCTTGACTTGGCATGTGGTGGTTCTAGTAATGTACTACATCCGTGTTGCTGGTAGTTTGTTGATAATCTTTTCTAGCAAACACTTTTCTAGTTCCATAAGAAATTCTGAATCTAAGAGTCCAGTTTGTAAGGTGTAACGGCCTCACATCAGGTGTTTTCTACGATGTTTGACTTCATTGGAGTCCCAGTTCTGTGTTTGTATTCAGCTCTTCAGCAAAGCACTTCATCATGATAAAGACAAAAAGACATTCACTCAGATGAGTGATAAATAGAATTAAGTTATAATTTATTCAAAATGCACAATGCACATTTTTTTTAAAGATCTTTACAATCTAGACAAAAATATACCATCAGACAAATACGACCTCACAGTTATCAATGGAAGGTGAAATAATAAAAACTGTACAACAGTTGACCTCTAAGTAAGAAAAACCTGAGACATCTAGTAAAATAGACACTCGGGATGTCCCTGTGTTCAGAAGGTGAACTTTTTAAGTCAAATGTACAGCATGACTAGGACAAAATGTCCAAACCATGTCTACGAAACAATGATTATCTTGTTCTGCTGGGTGTAGTAATCTCCACTTATTGAACATAGCACTCACTATCTCATGTCTGAGATCTTTGATCACTTGTCACAAATGTCACTATCATCTTGTGATCCATCACGGCATAAATTAGTTTAACACTTTGCACCTGAACAAATGCAAACAATGAAAATGGGTGAAAATGAGCAAACTCTCTGATATATATACACAAAATGAAATGCAATGAAAGTTTTATGGCATGTGTTGTATGTCAGTGGGGCAAGTACTACCTCCGCATGACAGGGTTAACATTGTTCATGTTGAGTGATGGAGCAGTCATATAGCTGTAAGCGTACATGGGGTTGTTGGACTGGGACTGCTGCATTTGTTGCTGGAAGGGTTGCTGGGCTGCAGGGTGCATGTTCATCATCCCAACCTGCATTGGCAGTTGAGGTTGGTTCAAGAAACCATGGTTGGGAATATAACCATGATTTATCATTGGTTGACGATAACTATTGAACATGTTCATATTGTACCGGGGAAGCATACCAGACCCTGGCTGAATTGTCACGTTTGGAGTGAACGGCACACTGGGGTTTACAGTCACATTAGGGTTAGCACTTTGAGGTTTACGTGTGGTTTGTCTGCTCCTTGGATACTTGCTACACTGTTGAGGCTGAAGTTGAAGTTGTGGCTGAAGATTGGGAATGGGCGGAGTTGCCATGGAGCGGATCATGGCCGGAGGTGGGGTCATGGTATGAGGTGGAGGGGTCAGATTGGGTGGCGGGGTCATGGTATTTTCATGCATCAAGTCCATCATATTAGCAGTCATTTGCTGTAATTTGGACAAACTACAGCTATTTGGATTCTGGTAGTTGCCCGTGTTCTGTTGTCCTCCACAAGGAGTATTATTGTGAACCAGTCTGTGGGTATTCTGGGGTAGCATACTAGGACTGTAACTTGAACCAGATGACCCGTATACCACAGAGCTTGTAGCTGGTGGTGGAAGGTACGTTCCTGTACTTACAGGCATCTGCATTGGGTGATGTTGAACAGTGTCCATGAATCGAGTCACACGACTTTGGTTATTGCAGTACGACTGCTGGGCTTGAATACAACAATTCTGTGGCAACTGAGCACAACTCTGAACCTGCGCACAGCTCTGCTGCTGTTGTTGCTGTGGCGTTGCAGGGGGTAGCTGCTGTGGTTGAGGCATCTGGGTTGGGGGCATCTGTGCTTGTGCACAATCAGAATAATTAGGGGTGGGAGCAGATTCAACTGAGTTGTTGGCCATCTCATTACTACTAATCGATGTAGGGGACTCAAGACCTAACTGTGTCACATCTATATCAACTGTATTAAATCCATTGTTGCCTAGATTGGTATTAGGCATGTTATTGATCTGCGTATTCTGGGGTGAAAACACAGGTCCCACACTACTACAGGTCTGGCTTGGATGGTTCGGGGTTGGGGGCTGTACATTGTTCATGCTCATGTCACGCTGAGCCATTTGCTCGGTTGCAATGCTACCTGTTGCACTGTTGTCAATTTGTTCATAATTGTTCCTCAGTTCCTGTGCAAGAGCTTCCTCAAAGTTATTAGAGGCACTGAGAGTATCCTGCACAGTGGTATCACTACTAATATCCTGGAAATTATCATCACTGGGTATGTCTGCTGTTTCTGGTGTGTGTTCCACAGAGGAATTAGTTGAAGCAGATGTTGCTATTGGGGTTTCAGCTGCTGCTGCTGCAGGAACTGGTGTTGGTACTTGTGGAGATGGGGGAGTCTCTGGTTGTTTGCTCTCCTGAATCACTGGCTCTTCTTGGCGCGGAGTGGGTGGCCGTGGCTCTGGCTCATGCATAGGCAATTGCTCAGGCTCTGGCTCAGAGTCTGGGTTGGCACCTGGGCTTGGCATGGGTACGTTAGGAGACATAGGCCGTGGAGTTGGCACTTGTGGCGTGAGTGGGGCAGGGGGCCCATCATCACTATTTGAATCAGACACACATTCTGTAGGTTCAATGGCTGGACTTGGCTCAGGTGGACCTGAAGACTCACTGGGTAATGTTTCTCTTTCCTGTTCCAGACTTGCTGGAGACTCCAATTTTGGAACATTTTTGGGTGAACTTACAGTCTCCTCTTTCTCACTTTCTTCACTTTCCTCCTCCTCATCTTCTTCCTCCTCCTCTTCATCATCATCATCGTCCTCTTCCTCATCATCATCTTCATCATCATCACTTTTAATAGCACTTTCAACTGTTTCCCCATTCTCTTTTTCCCTTACGGTGTCAACTCCATTGGTATGAATATCAACAGATTTCACCACTTTCTCACTTTCAATTGGGGCCTTAACAGATACCTCTGTATCAACCTCACTACACTTCTTCTCATCTTCCTCCTGACTTTCGTCCTCCTCCTCCTCATCATCATCATCTTCATCATCATCACTACTGTCAGTATCAGACGACGACGATGATGATGACGATGAATCGTCACTCTTACTGTCTTTCTCTTCATTGTTGTCATCACAGTCAGCCACATCATCACTCTTGCTCTGTCTACCCGAGTCTGCAGTGCTGTTCACAGACACCGTCTTGTCAGGTGACACTGAATTCTGTACAGAAGTGTTTGTGATATCCATGTCCATCTCCTCCCCATCACTACCATCTGTCAACTTACTGACATCTCCATTGATGGTCACCTCATCATCAACATCCTCCTCTTCTTCACGTTTTGTCTCAGGCTCTTCCTCCTCAGTATCACTTTTGTTTTCCAATTTTGGATCCACTGGGGATGATGGGCCATCACTTTCTTCTGCACCTGAGACTTGAGATTCCACCAGGGTTCTGTGGCGAAGCTGAAGAGAAAAATAAGAATTGGATGCATTCTTTAGTTTCCTAGGACTGAATTTAAAGATACCTTCTTCAAAGAAGAAAAGGAAACATTTGATAATTACATCAATATTTCCTTGAAAGAGAAGACAAGACTTTTAAGCTCTCTTGGAAGAGTACAAGACATTCAGACAGATTCAGATCAGGGTACCTGTCTTCATAAAATACAGATATCGGAGTAAAACACAGCATTCCTTCCTCCAATATTTTCTTACACACAAGGCATCTTTCTCTGCTTAAAGTACTTCATAAGATTTGCAGCATCTCTATCGATATGAAGACATTGGCCCTCCTTTTCAACAAATAATAGGAAGTTCATCCCTTTGCTCTGAATAAGCAATACACTATTCAATACTACATGGGGCAACTGGATTGTGATACACATACCTTGAGTGATGTCAGTACAATCTTTGTTCTATAACTATAATGCACAAGCTAAGTCTAATGTTTGACGTCAACAGTAGTGAGAAAATATTGCACAATTGGACATGGTTTGATACCACAGGTTGACAAGTTAAAGATCTTGAAGAAAGCAAATTGAAAAATTACTTCTCTAGAACATAAAATACCACATGCGAAAAGTGAACGTGTGCATAATGTGACATCCTTATGAATCTTGTGTTCTTCATAATGCATGGAACAATCATTGAGTAGAGTGCAATAATAACCAAGCTATAACAAAGGATGTACAGAATGATATTGTGCATCAAGTACCTAAATGTACTTAATGGACAAATTTTACATTACACATTCCCATTCAGCCAAAACAAGATTGTCTCTATAAATGTCCATTAAAAGAAGGCAAGTTTTCAATCTTTGTGAACAATGTATGATCTTGCAGGCAGATATGTTGGTCAGAAACCTGTGATATAGTTACAGGTTGCAAGATGTATCATAAGCCAAACTGCACAGATTCACCACTGCGCATTTAGTCTTTATAGATTTTCAATAACATTGAGCATCAGTGGAATTTGACACTTAAAATATGAATCTGCATAAACAATGGTCCAAGGAGAACATAAGGCACTCTATTTCTCTTTCTTTTCTAAATGATAGGTACTTACTCAAGCAATATGTATACTTCAGCACAGTTGAAATTTCTTATCATTGATATTCATTTTCCCTGATATACATTTTCAAGAGAGAAGAAAAGAAAACTAAAAGCATGATATGGCAAATAGTGCCGGACAAGCCATCTACATGAACTACTGATCCGGATGCGGATCTCATTATGTCACACCTGTCACAGCTCATGCAGGAGCACCCACCTTTCGTGGTCTGCCTGGCCGGCCTCGACGTACCACCGGGTCTTTCTTCACAGGCGAGCCACGGGGAACTCCTTTTGGCCAGCCACCTTTCCTCTTTCGCCTCTTCTGAACAACATGTTCTGCTACAATATGTCCATTTCTTCGAAGTGTGATCTCAGGTCTTCCTTTGATTTCTTTCTTTAGAGTCTTGTTTGACATTTTATTACAATTGTTGCCATTTAGATTGTCTTCGGTTTTAGGAACACTCTTCAGTTTATCTGGGGATTGTAAATATGAATGCACATGAGTTATCTAAGATATCAAAATAAAAGTCATCAGAAGATGACAAATCCCCTCCCTCCCTCTAGCCCCCACAATAGCATAAGGCATACTTCAGGCCCTGGTGAATATATGTATCATGTTTGGATGAAAAATCTTGCATGGTTTTTAAGTTTCGAAATACAGATAGACCAGATGATGACTATATCCCCGACATCAACCTAAATCTAAATTTACATATGACCTTACCAATCAGATTTGTTGCTTTTTTTCTTTAATTTCAAGGCAGTATCAAAATCACTTTGCTGAACAAAATATTAACATATCAAAAATCAATTGGTTGCATAAACTAACATATGTAGTTAGCAATTGTGTTGTGAGAGTCTTAACAAACTAATCCCTCACCTTCAAGGTAGCTGTTGCTGATTTCTGTCATAAGACTCTTCCGAGATCTCTTGGGTTCTGGCTCAGGAGACTTGAAGCTGTTCAGCCTTTTTCTCCCTGGCTTCTTGCCAACCTGAATATACATTCACTTTTCAAGGCAAACTGAATATGGAATTGGGAGGAGATGGGAGGAGTTACTTCCTCAAGGGTCCTTGAAATCTGATGAGTTGTAACAACTTGAAGCAACTTATAAGTACAACAATCAAGTCTAATGCCTTCAATATCATAGAAGAATTCATAGTATTAACTCAATGATAAGTCGATCAAAGCTTTATGGACCCTGACAGCAGGCCTTAATGGATTTACCATATGTGAGGTGAGGTGAGGTGAAATTGGGTTTAACGTCGCGTCCAAGATTATTGCACTTATATAGCGACGTGCATGTGTGTGTGTGTGTGTGTGTGTGTGTGTGTGTGTGTGTGTGTGTGTGTGTGTGTGTGTGTGTGTGTGTGTGTGTGTGTGTGTGTGTGTGTGTGTGTGTGTGTGGCTGCTTGTACTATTCTGGACTGATCCCGATTTATAGTGCTAGCTCACTGAGATACCATGCCGCAGTTTAACATCAATACCCCACTCAGACACAGTATACTGACTCCGAGCCGACCAATCCTTGTTTTAGCCCCTTAATGCCGAGCGCCAGACAGGGTAACAACAAGTACAATCTTTTAACATCTTTTTGTATGACGTGGCCGGGGATCAAACCCCGGACCTTCCGCTCTCCGGGCGGACGCTCTCACAAGACCACGGAGGCAGCCTGATTTACCATATGTACAACATTCAAAGGCATAAACACTTTTTAAGGCCTTTATGGCAGTTTGTTCAAACCCAGCTTACCTTTTTGATTGGGTCCTCTTTTACAGGACTGAGCTTTGAATCTTCTAGCAGCTGGCGTCGGTCTTCTGCTATGCTGTTGACCACTTCACTCATCTCTCGTAACTGTAGCACATGATTAACACATTCATTTCATATGCATATACAGTACCGGTAGATACAATTTCCAAAACGCCTAGACTTCACACTCATAAGACTTTCAAAACTATTCTTAACAGACACCATTTTTGCAAAAAAATTATGAATATATTCTTTGAACCTTGTTACATTCATAACATACTGCAAATACATTCGGAAAACATTCTTGCAACATCTTTTGCTTAATGACAATTTGACATCATGTGATACTGGTTATTAATATGACCTGCTTCTTTATATATTTTTCGGTGTGACAACAACAGACAGAACATAGCTCTGACACACTAAATGAAGCGTGCAATGAAATGTTCATGAATCAGTATTAAAAAAATGAACAGTTCTTATGAAACAACAACATGCAAATAAAGCATACCAGGATATAGATTATTGAGTTGGTTGCGACGAAGTATATAAACCAAACACTCAATGTATGAAATTGAGATTAATGACTTGTTTTTCTGAGACTGACAATGATATGTTCTTTTCTATTGATGTGCAAAATACGTGAGGTATATCTACTTAAAAAACAATTCAGATGATAAAATGAACTAAAGTCTTTGGGATTACAACACCAAAATATTTAAACTGATAACACACATCAAGGTTCTACATTCATGAAGTCTCCTGAATAGATTCAGAAATGAATTGATCAAATTCAGATGAGTTTTCTCTCAACCTTCCTGGCAAATGTTAATATCGGACATCACTTAATACATTTTGCAGGAAGCTTGGCATTGACTTATCCCCACAGACTATCACTGTTCAGTACCATGATCAAAAAGGTTTAGATTGTTTTCTGCATATAAGATGACTTGAAAGTGTAGTTAACAGACTAGGCCAACACAGTTCAAAATTATACATTCTATGAAAAACATTATTCTCACTGCAATTAGTGTACATAGCTATACAAACTTTGTGCATGTCATGCTGCACCTTACCCTATATCGAATGACGCACATCTTAGTTTAGGATGATTGAGTATAATGCATGTTACTGCGAAAGCATTCATGGCAAAGCTTTAGCTAAAATGAGTCTTGGCTTTAAATGATATGATATGCTACTTCATTCCTTTCCCAATGAAACAACTACATTTGTGATTAAGAAAAGCTATCTAAGGACATAACAGAACTACATACAAAATGTGGATAATGGTCAAAGTAATAATGACATACCTTGCTACAAGATACCCCTGAGAAACAAAAGTAACACTATGCAGGTGGGTGCAGACAAGAAAAGCCCAAGAGTTGCTGGTAACATCCCATACAGAAATGGTCTTCACAGCACAAGCATGCCACCATACAACAACCCAAATATTACCCACCCGAAAGTATCTAGAAGTTGTAGGAGCTCCAAATGGCAGACGGAACCTTGGACCCACCTCTTTCTCAGCACGTTTCTCTTCTTCCAATAGAGTTTGATTTGATATTAAAGGAGTCCAGCGTAGGCACTCAGCATCTAGCTCAAGACGTTGGTGTGCTTTTAACTTCAGTTTATCCATGTATTCTTGGATCTTCTTGCGATTCACAGATATGACAATTCTAAAAAACATGTACAGTATTATAGTAAATGTAACACTTATTTACTGCAATCTAAGAAAAAACAAAACAAAAATGAACTAAGCATTTCAGATATTGAGACTTATATGGCACTATAGATGCCTTGTTTCTAAACATGAAGATGAAAGGAAAATAAAATTCCAATAACTGAGGAAAAACTTGTTGTTTGCCACACTCCATGTCCAACTGTATGACACACAATGACTGAATACTGAAACTGTTTTTTAGTATTTTCTTACTAAAGGGATACATGTAATTAGCAACATGTTCTTGGGTTGTAATAAATAGTCTCAATACGTACTTTCCATCTTTCTTGATCATGAAGGTCAGCTGCTGCAGGGTTCCAGCAACATCATGAGGACACATCCCAGTAGAACGACTGATAGCTGGAAAAAAAGACAAAGTTGCAATAAAGCAATATTTTCTCAGAAAATCCAGTTATCAAAATCAAACTTTGCACTGCATCTTTCCTATTGGTATAGAAACTGTACCCCAATTGAAAAAATTCCATGAAGTAGTTTTTAAGTCCCAGGTTGTACAAATGTTGAATTTAAAAAATTCTAAGTTCACAAACTTATAAACATCATATGTTTTTCAGAAAATACACTATCAAAATCAAACTTTGCACTGCACATCTTGTATTAGTATGGAAACTGGTCCCTAAATTTGAAAATAATCCATGCTGTTGTTTCATAGTTATAGATCACAGAAATGATTAAGTAAACAATTTCTAAATTAAAAAAAATAAAAATATGTATTTTGTCAGAAAATCCAAATATAGAAATCAAACTTCGCACTGCGACTTTCCTATGGGTATAAAAGGTGTTCACCAAATTCCAAAAGTATTCATGAAGCAGTTTTCAAGCTATAGGTCACACAAATAAATGTCTTCGGAAAGAGAGAAAGGGACAGATGGATGGACGGAATTCCTTGGTAAAACTGTATATAAAAATCAAGCATGCAGATGACAGAAAATGTTCCTTTGCAATGTATTTGAACCATACTTCAACCTCTTTATGCTTAACAGAGAATGAATTCTGCTTGTCTGAAAGAGCCTTGAGAGTTACTACACTTTCTTCTTTGAGTTTAAGGCAAAAACTAAGGTATCAATGGATAGACCAGGCCTCAAGTCTGTCAGCCCAAGACAAGTGAAAATCTAGAAAGATCAGTTGATTTCTCCCCAAACCTAGGGATTTAATATAAATCACTAGTCCGAAATCACTAGTATTCCCCTGGTGTGATAGTTGCAAATCAAATTTCAAGAGGCAATAGCACTGCTTTTGCCAACAGAACACATCAATCTAATCATAGCAGTCATGTTCCATATGAACAGGAAAACCATGTCTAAACTTTAATGGACAAGCCTATGACGTATGATGATGTAAAAGTTTCAGGGAACTTTTTCCATAAAAGGTATAACTCATTAATATAAATGAGCTCACAACCGTTGTTCGTAGAAGTGAGATATGTTGCAGTTTCTAGACAATTGTAAATTCCAATCAAACTTAGATACGGGAAACTTACTTCATATTGACAAAAAGAGTAGTTTGTTAAACAGTTTTTCAACATAGTACATATTCTCTAAAAGTGCATTTAGTTTGAATGTTGATCCCATCTTGCACTTGGAATAGGCAAGAAGAGTTAGCTCTCTTCTCAAACATCTGCTAATGCAGGTTTACCACTTGGTCAATCAGAGCTAAGAACTTACAAAGCCACAAAAAGAGATTAAATACAAAATATGAATAGAAATCTTGACTACCCTACTGACCTTTGATGGTTATTTTATCGTCGGCCACCTTGTGCATGTATTCAATGATGATGCTGCGCCAATATGCCATGTAGCTGACTTTTCCCAAGTCTGACAGTGGCTTCTCTGGGGAGCCAGGTTGACCTTCAATCCTTGACAGTAGGTAACCTGCACAGGGAACCAATCCTTTCATTCACAGCATATATTCAAATCTAATCTATTGCAATGCAGATACTTAACACGGCTATATGTCGCCGAACCATATAGGACAAATAGATTATGGGTTGTCAATTCAATAGACAAACTGTTGAACTATTAACTCTGTTACAATTTTCTATGAAAAACCTATTTCGTAATACAGATATTTCATCATAAAAAAGTATGCTTGTGCATGATAACAGATACATACTAAATTCAATGAGAAATCTGCCATATCCCTTCCGCTGGTGCTGTGGCATTGTCATGATACAGGATACATTGTACTTCTGTTGGCAGTGCTTCTCCTGGAATGTAGGCAAATCATTCATTTACAGTAGACATAACATCAAGACATGCATTTCTATTTACAAGGGTTCATAAAAGCATAGCCAATGTAGACTCAAGACACATTCGTAGCTGTTACATTTGAACTTCTTCTCTATATAGAGTGTTACACAGTTTCGTAGCATCAATTCTTGCCCCTAGGTATTGTTTCTATCATACAAACATACCTTTGAGAAGTAGCCCACCAGATGACATCCGGTGTCGTCATTGTGCGTAAGTACATAGAAGAGGAATGGTTCTACATCGTAGTATAACGTCTTGTGGTCGAGGAACAGCTTGGCTAGTAGACACAGGTTCTGACAGTATATTTTGCTGACATTGCCATCCACCTCGAACACAGAGAGATCTCCTTTTCTGTAGATCTCATTGGCTGGAGGATGGTGGAGGCCACACTTGCTCTGGTGAGAAGAAAACACAGATGCCACAAAATGTCATAGAGTGTCAGGCTACAACCTCATTACATATCACACCCACAAAACACAGACAAAAACAACTTAGCAACTTGCAAAATCTGATTTATGATTAGGGCTGCAACGATACAGGAAGGTCACGATACGATACGCATCTCGATATTCTGGTCACGATACGATACGCATCTCGATATTCTGGTCACGATACGATACATATCTCCGTACGCAATGATACAAAAACAAGACTTAAAGCATGTCAAGATTGAACCTTTCATGATTTTTGAACAGTCAACATTATTTTATAATAACAAGACTACTGAAGTTGTTAAGCTTCAAAGTGGAACTTTCTCTAACTTTCCTTCAAAACAATTCAAAGTTCAAACACCAGAAAATAATTAATGTACTTCACCAGTTATACAACTTCAAAGAATTTGTATGCAATGGTCGAAGAAATTGTATCTGAAATTATTGTTTTATCAGGAATAATATATTCCCATATCGTGTTACTTTAGTTGCAGCTTTTACTCTATATGTATTTAAAATTATAAAAACCACAAGCGTAGCATTTTGGTACTGGTGATTACTGTTGCAGGATATTTTTACGCATGGAACAATTTCACCAGTCACCGTAGGGACTTCCCCGCGACAGGTATTTCGATTGCGAAAATGTTATGTTGAAATATATTAGCCAAATTGCCACAAATATGACTTTTAACGAGTCAAAGTATGTCATGTTTAATATATGTATCCATTCTTTAGCAACTAAAGTTCGTTTAAATGCGTCAAAAGCGGTTATCTGACCGTGGTTGCTGTATCTCTTCACACACGATTTCACCTAACTTAATGAAAACAATATTAAATGAAAGTTTGAATAAAATTAATAAAATATGTTACAAACACATGTCCAGATATACAATGAACACGTTTTAATAACAAGATGGTATAATGATGGTATTGAATTGTGTACTTCAGTTCGGTTTTGCTGACTGGTATTTCCAGTGTTATGTGCTTGCGGTGATCAGCTGATAATGTTTTTTGAGATGGGGAAAAAACATCTGTTAGTGTAAAACCTGAGCTTATTAAAAATGTAAGTACGTTTTGGGGAGCCATTCGTTACCGCGCACTATAACAGAGTTAGCGGTTGATTGAAAGGCACAACTTCGAGGAATAGCTGTACTTGAGATTTGCATTCGGTATCGTGGCGCATCGATAAATGGGTCCACGTTTATCGTATATCGTACCGTGGGTCAAGTATCGCGATGCATCGGAATATCGGTGTATCGTTTCACCCTTATTCATGATGAAAAAACACTTGACTATACTTCCAGGGAAGAAGCCAGTCTAAGTGTGTAGAAGAGTATCCTGTGGTATAATAAAATTTTAAATCTTGATGGTGTTCCAGTGTGCTATCATTACTTAGGCTTTCTGGGTTACTTTCGGTCAATGTAAAATAACTTTCACCTTTATGACTTTATGATTTAATCAAAATGTAGATGTAGAATAATGCACATAAAACAAGAACTTGACTTACCATGTGTCTTTGGAGAATGCTTCTACTCTTCATATATTTCAGACAAAATTCACATATGTACAACTTTGGTAACCTGAAAACAAGAGATTTTCAGTATGAAATGCAAGTAATGTTCCACTGACAGCTTCTATGTTGTGTTCGAAATTAAGCATGAACATCAAAGGGTCTTTGTCATAACACTAAGATGAAGATTTAGAGGGACACTAGATTCAAATACCTGAGGAGAAGCGAAGACCTCAACTCCAGGATCCCCCTTAATTTGGAAAAGTGCCATGTATTGATAAGGCGTCCTAATGTCTCACATGAGGCATGCAACAGTTTTTAGGCCCATAACATAAAACAGCATAACTATTAATCCATGCTTAACTGATCAAATGGTATAAGAATAGTTTATTTCATCATCTTAATAAAAGCAATGAATAGCCACCAGGGCTCAGAATTCATTCATACCAGCTAGTACCAGGTTTTATAATAAGTCTTGTGATAAATAATTGTTGAGCATTTATTTGATAGTGCCATGTGTGTTTAACAAATGGTGAGACCTTGTACTGATGAAAACCAAATTTCCTTTGGGATAATTAAGTGTTATTTTATGTCATATTATCTTAAAAATTTCAAGACAGCTGGGAATTCTTTTCCTGGCTGCCTGTTTTCATCTAAAAATTAGATGAAGTGATTTTCCACTTTGCCTCACTAATTGCTAATGGACACATTTTCAAATTTTCAATTTCCAAGTACCACGGTCTTGACTTACCTGGCATATTCTTGTGGGTAGGGAGATGAGTACCATGTTTGTATCTCATATTTCCCAAATTCAATACATGGTGGAAATCGGTGTTGAGGTTCGGACGGAGCATCTCCTGTGTTGGAGCTCTGAGAGGCAAAACAAACAATGGTTATACTACAAGTTGTGTACTCAAGCCATGGCCAATATCCAGCACTCAGAATGCCAGTTACATGAGGAAGACACCTGGACAAATATACATAATGTCAATACATGCAAAGGCACTGGAAGCAAGCCAAATAATGTGCAATATCACAGATCAATCAAACTTCATTCTCACATCAAATGCACTGCCCAATCAACAACAAAATATTCCTGTGACTACCGAGATTCACAGCTTTATCTAAATACACAACTTGTTGTTTATTCTATTGACTTATAAATATGCCACTGTAAACCAGTGTTAGGAATGGTGTCAACTCACTCCACTGGGACATATTTGTATGAATCATATTGGCCACAAAAGCCAACCACTGTGAAAAGACTATCTCTTGGTAAAAACGGAATGAGTGTGAGGAGAAAGGTTCATGTACATTTTGCAAGTTACAGTTTCAGTATATCTTTATTATGAATAAGTCTGTTCCTTTAGTGTACATTTCTCTTCTGTAATGCATAGAAACTCTTAATCTTTCTGACACAATTTCAATATGTTCAAATGTCATAATAATAGAATATCAGTAACACTTCCAAACTTGGTCACAAATTGTTAATGAATATTGTAGTTGAAATAATAAAGAAAAAACATACTTTGTTTTAAAACAGTTAAAACTGGAAAAGCAGGTAAAAGCAGCAATGATGTCAAAAGAATATAGAATACAATTGCGAAAACAGGGAAGAGTGCATGGGCTGACAGAGACACTTGTGAGACGCCACAAATTACATGATACATCAATGATAGCCATTCAACGTAAAACACTTTACAAAACAAATACAACATCATGCCTGGCATAAAAAATTAAACTGAATTTTATTGATTTTTTAATTACAGATTTCATTACACCATTACAATTTTCCAACATCAAACTAATCACTTACTGCAAAAACATTTTCAAAATTGAAAATTCGTTTTTCTGGATTTCATGTACCGGAAAACACAGCAATATTACAAGGATTTTTATTCAGACTGTTTAGGTTGGACCATAGCTTGCAAAGAGAGTTTACATCCAAATGCATATATACTTCTGTTTACTAGGAGTTTTCATACATCAAGAAAACATTCTTACATGTAATTGATTAATTTTCATCAAGTTGTATATATACGCAAGGATGAGAAATGGATCTTTTCCTTTTCAGCTGTAACTTCTTTGCCATGGAGCATGGTCCATAATTTGGAGGTGTTTATGGGGGAAGCCATCCGATTTTAACAAATTTGTGGTCAATTCATGGAAATTCACGAAAGATACTCATCCTTGCATATATAACATCAAACATTACAAAACGCAGAACAAATTCAGTTCAAAGCATTTATATTTCACGATGCATAATGAATGATGGCATATGAACAAGATTAAAATGTGAAAGAGAAAGGAGAAGCAAAGCAGTGCTTGCATGTTACGACAGAGACCTTGTGACCATAGCCGCCGGGCCAACTCACTTGTCCGAGCGACTGCTGTGCCTTTTCCTGCGCCTGCTTGAACAGATCAATGTCACCCTCAGTCACCAAGTGAGGCAGGGGGGCTGCAGAGCTCTCCTTGTCTGTAACACAACATAAATAAGTGTTAAACCATATCAACAGAAGCACAGCAAATCTCATCATTCTCGCAGTGTGGATCAGTGTTCATACGTAACAGTTGCAATCTTCAGTGCATTTCCATACACATTGGTACAGATATATCTTTTTAGGGTACAAACAAATTAACCTCATTCACAATAGATATAGCACCAGTGGGAGCCTATACAGATTCATTTTGCTGATATGACATAAAAGTTTGTTTATTGTTTACTTCACTTGTCACGTTATGTATGTTTCAAATGACATTATGAAAAATATTTTTGTCACAATGCAAGAGAAAACATTGTAAAAGTACAAGTAATGGATAACATGTCGACACCAGAGGTCTCTTATAAAATTGGTTTCAGATTTTTTTGCACCCAATCCACAGATTGGTATCAAGAGACCATCACCACATTCAATAAAACAGAGCACTGATACATACCTTGAGAGGAAATGGAACAAATGTTTCAAATATCAACACAATTACAATGACAGTTTATGAAGATGATACTCTCATTGAGTAAAAGGCCATCTCAATAACATTCACACAGTGAGATGTATAATACATTCTCTAAAACAATGTAACACATAAACATGTGTGTCACACTGAAATAAAAAACTCATGAATCTGTCCCCAATAATGAAATAACTAGTTCATCAAGATCCACTGTTTATTGCGACTAATTGATACAATCTGGTTCAGATTGGTCGCGGTGCGGATCAGTTGACCTCAAGCGTTTCAACCACCAGAGACTTGGACAGATGGCTTTAACTGTATTTTCCATGTTAAATGCTGGCATCCCCTCAAACATCCGTTAGCCTATGTCTTAATGTGGCTCAATCAACTTGTTGTTCTGTCAGTCATACTAGACAGTGGTCAACTGTGGAATCTTCTGAGCGACATATCACCTAAATACCGAGGGAAAGCATAGATTTTATACTCTTAAATAATGTGATGCCAGAGCTAAAACGATGCATTTCCCATGAAAAGACACAGACAAAGGCTTCTGTAGCTAAAAGCAAAATATCAAATTCAGTAAAACCAAATCTGTTCAAATACTTTAAAATGAATGTAGTAACAAAAAGCTGAAAAGAAAAATGAAAAATGATCAGAACAACTTCACAAACATTATAACAAAATTATATGAAACTAAGCAAGATCAGGCATGATGATCATGATACATATTTTTGTATAAATAACATGAAAAAAAGAGACAATTCTTCATTACAAACAAGCAGCATATCAAAAGTGCCGAAAACTTAAAACATGAATAGTGAAAGCTGCACGTAACTAACTTGGTTAAATGTTTACTATGAAAAGTTAGAAATGGCATGCCGTCCACCCTATGGAACAACTGAGCAAGGTGCAATAGATCTACTGTCTAAGTGGGCCTGGCCTTGTTTTGTTTTTCATGAATATTTCATGAATACTTCAAACATATCTAGAACTGTAACCTTGTCACATAATTATATATACCTTCAGCAACAACAGTAGCAAAAATTTCAATCACGGTTTTCAGCATGTTGAAAGATAAGCATTTGGACTTCAAAATCTTTGTTCATTATTTTCCACAGAATACCAATGTTGATTGGCTATGGTTTCATCAAACTAGGACTGGTCAGATCAAAGGCTCTTTTGAAGCCCTGTATTACAAACACACTTTCCCAAAATCTCTTAGTTGAACTTGTATGCGTTCCATAGGAGTGTTGTTTGACAAACCATTTCAGACTTGGCAGATTCAAATAAAAACACCGCAACCAACCAAACCCGAACTAATCTACTGAAGGAAAGCAGACATAAGCTACATACTGTAACAACTACATGGCATCTTCATGGCTGGTACTATCTGCCTATTTATTTGGTTATTGTGATGCAAGTAGAGAAGAGGACAGTGGGTGAGTGAATGGGTAGTGAGTGAGTGAGTGAGTGAGTGACTGAGTGAGTATCTAGGTAGGAAGAGGTAACTGGAGAGTGAGAGCCATGCACATGTTCGTCACAGAAGGCTTTCCTTCAAATTTGGGTAGCAGGTAGGTAGTTGATCAAGAGTGAAACATCTTCGTTGTCGTTCCAGGATAGGATAGGAGGTTTCCAAAGACAGAATGATGATCAATGCATTCACAATGGCATTGTACACAAACAGGACAAGTACTGCCCATTTCTAAAGTCTGGTTTCAGATTCTGCCCATTTCATGAATACACAGTTCTTTCTCACTAGCTACTCTGCCTTAAGACATTGCCACATCGCTTGATTTTGTGTAAGTATCATCAATCATCTTACCCTTTTTCTGTCCACGGCCTCGCCCCCGCCCTCTGCCAATAGAGGTTTCGGTTGGCGTGGAAACCCCTCGTCCTCGTCCTTTGTGCTTGTTGAGGGACGTCGAGAGAAATCCTAAGTCACTCCAGTCAGGTTTGTGAATTCCCCTTCCCCTACCCCTGATAGGTGGGAGAATTACAGGGCTCTCTATGCCAGTAAATTCAAAGGGATTGTCTGGTTTATCAATCTCAATATCCAAGAAAGGGTCTTGAATAGGTGTACTAGTCTGTATTGACAAGAGCTTTTGCATGCCCCTTGGTGGTGTGTAAATTGGAAAGTTACGCTTCCTATCCCCCTGTGCAGTAAACAGGTGTGAAAGGCCATCAAAAAGGCCCTTAAGCTGACCACTACCTGGTGGGCAGTTATGAAATCTGCGTCTTTTATTCACTTGTAAAAGTTTGGACTTTTTCAACAATTTTTTTGCAGCCTGTCGCGATTTGCTGGGTCGACCAGGTTTTGGCTTAGACACTAGAGCTGCCAAGTCAGCTTCTAAAGAACTAAGTGAGACTCGAGATTTTCTCTTGTTAGACGGAGTAAAGAAGCGTGATAGGCCATCTATTAAGCCCTTAGGTTTGTTGACAGCCATGAAAGGTTGTAAGATGCTCAAGTCCTCATCACTGTCTGACTCACATGAGGATGAGGAGGAGCTATGATTGCCATTTTCTGCCGTTGATGCTGCTGCCCTTGTGTTTTCCTTGTCCTCTCTGCTGCTGTGACCATTTTCCAGGGACCTGTAGTGTTTCAGATGAACATTATTCCCTGTTGTAGCCATCAACAATGATGAGGACATGGAAGTAGTACCAGGAATTCTGTGCTTTGGACGCCGCCCTCGAGGTAGGCCCTTCCCAGAAGTCACAGATTCATATTGCCTGCAAAAGTAAATTCATATTTATTAAAGTTATTGGACTACTGCAAATGCAATCAATAGGATTTTCTCAACTAAATCAGAAGAACATCTACAAAAATGTATGAAGAGCTTCCACAAAACATTAATGAGATATAATCTGAATGAATGAATTTGAATGTACTCACTTTCTTGCAGCATTGAGGACTGCCTTTGCCTTTTCAAGTTTAGCTGCCTTTTCTTTGGCCCTCAGCCGCTGTGTATATCGTGCTGCCATTTCAAGGAACTTTTTCCCTTTCTTGTTACCCCTATTTGGATCACATATGTTGCAGCTCCATGCCCCTACAATCAGGAAGAACAAATGCAATAAGATCCACACCATTGTGATATTGTTGTATTTGATTATTAGTATTCATACTGTATGACACCATACTTTATTTTCAGTTGATCAAGCTTTACAAACTATTAGTTTAAACTTAACTGCCTTATTCTCAAGTGTATCTTCATCATATTGGCCTCACCTTTTGGAGCTTTGTTCAAAGGTGGATCACAACACTGCATATGATATCCCCTATCACAGGCATCACAGAAGAGCATATTGTCCTGAAAGAGAAGACACTTTTTGTTAGATTTTTCAACATCTATGTTTTTCAACTGTGATACAAACTGGTGTGTAGAGCATTAACCTCAAATCTCATCAAATCAACCTTCCGGACATGCCATCAAACATTATGTTACACATCTCAAAATCAAAACACTAGCCAGAAAGGGGCAGGAGGGGGTTGCTTTCAATTGTTTTTCTTTACATAAAAGTGCATGTATTACTTGATGTTTCTCATGCATACTCAAGACACTATCTGGATATCCATCATAACTGACATCTAAAATCTGCCTATTTGTTTTAGAACAAAACTTTAGAAATTATCAGTGGGGTTCATGTGTAGCAGAAACTTTCCTGCCTTGTGGAAAGAGTTTTGCAGTAAATGTTGACCAGTGTAAGGAAGTAATTACAGCTTTGACTAATATGTTTTGATCGTGTTTGATATTAACAATGCACAGAGATAGGCATGTGACACATGTCATAATAATTCTAGAACAGAATTTATGCCTTACAGGAAGCTTTTATATCAGAAACATCCTATGCAGTATTCAGTATTACTGACCTCTTTTCCAGACTTCCCACAAAACGAACATCTTTTGCAGTCTATACACTGCCATCGCAATCTTCTCACTTTCAATGCCAGTTCGGGCGCAAATTTGAGACATGTTGGATGACCTGAAAACCAAAAACACACTATCAAATGAGGGAATCAAAAATATTAGAAAACGGATCTAGTATCTGCTGAATAAAGGAAGGTTTTCAACGCATCGGAAGTATTGCTTACTAGCTAGATGTTTCAATTGACCATTAACTTTTAGGTGAGAAAGATCACTGTGTAAGTCCAACATTCAGAAATATCAGGCAACCAACCAAAGTAAATATTGCACTGCCAAATATTTGGAATTCACATCAAGTTGATGTATTTAAAAGATGTTAAAAAGGATTGGCAATGAATGTTTATAGAATGCAATGAAAACACATAAATTTGGTGCAAATGTAAGCACAGCAACCACCGTCTGATAGTTTCAAAAGCCTGAAAACACCCTGTTTGGACTGATATTGAGTGACAGATATTTTGCAATTGTTAGACAAAGCAGAAAATTCCATGTTGTGGTCCAATAATGGTAAATTAAATTTCAAAACAGTGTAGGTAGAGGCAATGTTCTCAAATACTCTACAAGTTTGTAGGCTATTCTAAAGTTATGATGTGTTTGTTATCTATTGTACAGTGAAAAATCACAAAACAAACATTGGATCGGTCATAACATTTGGCAGGGTTAAGAATTAAGGGTGCCTTTGAACGCTCCCATGGTATTTGCATCAATGATTCAGTAATTTGAATATCAGCCTGTTTAAGAGTAAGACCCAAGAAACTTTCCTAAAAGTATGTCACCCTCCCACAAAATGTATCCTTTTCAACAAAAGAGTTTCAAAACATGGTCCATTATGCCAAGAGACTATAGAGGATAATCAACTGATAAAACTAAATCATAAGTTAGCTAAGTGGTATAACATTTACACAGAATATGTCTTACAATTTCTGCAATGACAATGAACATCACATGTAGACTGACAATAACTCCACCCTGCACAGAATAATGCAAGCTTTTCAAAGTTACTGGTGTATCCAACTACGTAATCTGAAACTGGACATGGGTGATAAGTTGCCAGCTGCAGTTTTTGCAAAAGCCCAGTACAGACAGCAGTGGGTTAAGCAGAAAGAGGTGTTTAGGTTCATAGCTACTTATCTTCCCAGATTAGTCGAGCAAGGGAGTATCCTTGGTTTGGATCACTGATGTTTTCCAGAGGCCTCAGTACCTCAGGAATGTACACTAACAAGGCAATCAAATACCTGAGAAACAGTGTGTCAGGTTACAGACAGTCAAGTCCATGACAATCAGGCTGTCTGAACATCACTGTACTTGGCTCTTCAAGTGCATACAACAACAGTGCAGAATGTAGCTTGATGTGTCAATAAACATTATGTTCAGGTGGAAGGTAAATTCAAAATATGAAAATGATTATTCCAGGCCACTCAAATGCTGCTCCTGCAAATAGGACACCACAGGGATGCTATAAATAACTTGTTGCCTAAATCTTAACAGTTGGAATATAACATCCTGGATGTTTTAAGCAGTGACTGAACAACATGTCTAAATAATAAAATTTAATGAGTAAACATATTTGTTTCATCAATTTAACTGATAGGTCATTTTGATTTGTTCTTCCACATTTAATGCAATAGTGTTATGTTTATCACATGATTTTAAAACATTGAATGAATGAATGAAAAGGCTGACACCTCATCTTTATTTCTACATCTTTACCTGGGAAGAATGTCTAGCTAAATATATATTACTTGCAGATAGGAGTGTTCTACAATAATCTATGTAACCTCAGTAACCTGTGCTGTGTGTTGGTGAAGATGAAAGATAAACAACATTAATTACAACAAATCAGTCTGAAAACAGAACTATTCAATATGTTAGCTCAGTGAGTTTAACATTATTACCTTTAACTTTGTATTTGCAGAATTTCAATTTTCATCTGTTAGCGAGATCAGCCATTGTCACCAACTGTCACTTTGTCATCAACAGCTAGTCATCTTCTGTGCAGTTACGTCACCACTTCTACAAGTGTGTGAGTGTGTGTGTGCGCCCTCAAACACTACCAATCTTGTTTTGTGTATTTCCGTTAGAGCTCCGTGCAGTGACGAAGCCAGAAGGGCATAATAGTCTGACTTATATAAGCACATGCTAAAACTTTGTGCTTGTTTGGTTGGATGTTTAGCTTCATCAATTCTCAAGACATGAAGACCACAAATGCGTACGGTTTAAGTACCTTAATTACCCCTCATATGACTGTCACACATCCACAAACTTTCTTTCTAAACTCAATAGTACCATCTTCATAAACAATCATTGTAATTCAAAACAAACGTATCAGAAAGAAAACATCAGAACACATTCTTGCAGCTCAAGCAATCTTATTACTTCTTTCACATTCTTTAACACTTTCTGAAATTACATTTAATATTTTACTAGTAACGAAATTGGTCAATATCTTACCACTACTACCACAAGTTGCACATGAGATGAGTTCTTCAAATTTGCCGTCCCTGTTTTTCTCTGCTGGCCCTAGACAGAAGCTACAGAGTGGCAGTGGCTTGGCAAGTTTCTGAAAACAAATAGGACATATTAAGACTCTTGATTACATCAAATACATGCTAAAATAAAATATTTAATGTGGCTTAGAACTGAATCAAATTCTACTTGGAGGTGGACAATATTTGCATTTAAGAAATCAAACCATCATTTTTCATAGAAAGTCCAACCAACTGCAACCATGCCTAATTTCACAGGTAACGGGTTACTTTACCAACAAGTATTCAATCCAAATATAAAGATAAACATCTAAATATTAATTATGACACAGTAACTCAAAATCTTAGCAAACAAATTTTGATTAAAGTACACTATAATTTGTTGTATCCTTTAACCAAAAGGATAGATGTCTTCTCACTGAGACAGCTGTCAATACATACACTGTATCAGTTGAGGGAATAAAGGAAGCAAAAATGCCACAAAGAATATGCTAAAAATATTAACACAAAATATTCTTATTTGAACAGTTTGAAAAGAAATGTAAATAATGAACCAGTTAGATAATAACCACAGTAAACACCATTAAGGCTGCAGTAGTAGAAATTATCATAAAAGTAATATAAAAATCATCCAATTTAAAAAAAATTCATCCCATGATGCCTTAACAATTATGAATAGTTTGGACAACAGGACTAGTGCTGCTTTCTAATACTGTGAATTTGGCATACAACAATGCGAGAGTAAGTAAGTTAAAAGCGTCTACAGAAACAGGAAATTAATGCTGTTACACTGAAATTTGTGCTAAGTTAAATGCTTCCTTGTGATTACAATAACAGGAAATTCACAACTGCTATCATCTATGGCACTTAATATTGGATATGTCAGAACCCAAATCGATAAACATTAAGAAAAACTGAAAGGCCCATGACATGACCTCTGGAGGGATGCTATTAACACCTCCAGCACAACTTCAGTATCAACTTGCCAACTCTTACAGAAAAAGTACTGTTTACTTCCAGGTGCTATCATTACTCTACTAAAGATTCACATTAGCCATAGCTTGGGGTAATCACTGTGAGCTCAGTGCTGATATGTGGAAGCTATACAAGATTATTTTATACTTCTTAACACCACAATAAAATCATTTTAAAAACTGCAAAATATGTGCATTAACTGAAACTTACAATTTATTTCCAAATTTATGTTGAAGATACTATGTCTATCTTTAACATGGGCATGTTTAGTCACAGTTACAAAATTGGTATCCAGTAAATATTCATTTGGCCGGGAAACCTTGGCTAATGACAACGTACATGAAAAGAGTAATATGACAAGTTTGGGCTAGCGATCTAACAATTTCTAGGAGAGACAGGTATTTATGCACAATAATAAAAGAAACAAATTTCCCCAGATTCTTTTATCATTCTTTAGTATGTGACACAGTTTCCCAGGATGGATTACAATCTCTGTACCTTATCACCAAGATAACCATATGTCAAAAATCATGTCAACAGCTCCCCATGACCACTATCTGTTGATATATCCTGCGAATGGACATATGCATACACTCAACTATAAGATTTAACACGATAATTATAACCTTCAAGTCCTAATAGCTAAATAATTTACTGAATCTCCCCACTGTCTTCCCCCAATAGCAATTAATCTAGTGTCAGTTAGAGTGTAACAGTATCAGATATTATGCAGCACTTGCCTTGTTACACTAATGACACTTTTCAGAAAGCCAGCTCCCTATGGCCGTATTGATTGAGCAGCCATCAAGGAAGGGGTATCACATGATCAATCAGCGAAAGAGAAACACCACACAAACAGATTGTGCTACTATGGCTTCCACTAGGCAAGTGCCGTCAGAATCAATACAAGAGCTACTTGCGACATTATCAAGGCTCGTTGCTCCTCTGAGCTGTTGGGCAGGCAGGCAGCCACAGTGGGCAATACTGGGCATGCTAATTCACTGTTAAGGGCACATTGGACACCTCATCCTACAAATACACCATTTATCTCTGTTGCTCATCCTACAAATTTAATCAGCCAATTACTGACTTCCCTCTCTCTTTCCACATGTGTTGAGAAAGATTTAACTAAGCACAACACACAAAAGACTTACAACTGGTGTCTAAATTCACCATTCACATTAAGAGTCAGTCAACCAGCTAGACAAATGCAAATGTTTAAACCCCCTTTGTTTGGTATGGGGTAAATAAAGCTAGCAGGACTGCGACCCAGTTATACTGAAGAATGTTCTGTCCTGGCAAAGCGAGAACTTGCCAACCGCAGGATTGCCAGCTAGACACGCTTCCAGGGTAAACAAAGCCATGTGACTCAGGAATCACAACATCTAACATGCATGTGCTTGTGACAAGTTGCATATCAACTAATAATACACAAAGTAAACTTTATAGATTTTCAAAAGGCCAGCTGGTACAATTTTTGGTTAGATACTAGTGTTTAACAGGAGTGACAAAATAAGTCAATGTATACACAGATACTACTCCCTTGAAAATCGATACACAAAAAGGGGTCTATTCAAAACAAAAACAACTTTAATAGAATCTTAAATATATCCTCAATAAAACATGATATATGACTGTGATATGATATGTGTTGTCATTCACAAATACTTACTTTGTGTCTTTCAAACGGCAAAATGATGTCGTCAAAGTGTTTGTCATCATCAATACTGCTGTGAAAACTGTTGCTGCTGTTCGAGCCAGCAGAATCAGATTCACTGACCGGTGCAGTCCCAAGTTTAATGAATCTTCCATCCTGCAAAAGTAGTCCTTTTTGAATGCCAGATTTTATGGACAATTTTATTTGCTGTGCCAAATCAACTCCATCACACAGTTCAATGTTATAGCTTCTCCTGATAAACTTCTCAATGCTTTTCAGGCTAGAACCTCCAACTTCACCCAACTCTCTCACAGTTCTCACGATGACTTTAGTTAGGTCATCTTTCTTTCCGATCTTCAGATTTCGTGACTGTAGCTGAACAATACGAGATGGGTCCTTGTAAGAGATCAATCCCTTGTTGTAAGTTTTCAGTACAATTCCATCAGTAACAGCCAACTCAAGTTGTTCCTCGATAGATTCTTTACTGACCTTGTGGTTTTGACGGACTGCATTGCTTATTCGCTCTAGACTCGGCCGCTGCTTCTGTTGTTTAACTTTCTTAATAGCTTCAATCAACCATTTTGCATAGGTCGGATTGGTCAAACCCGTGTCCCCCTCCCTAACCATGTTGGGGGTAACACAGTGTTACACTTTGTTGATTCGATTTGCTTTGTCACAACAGTCCATCATGTCCACCCGAGTCGGCAACTCTCCGGTGTTCACAAAGTTGATTGGCTTAACTTGCCACATCGGATGTGACAATCACTCCAATATATTGGATATATTAGGTAATTGTTAGAAAAATTAAAATAAATTATTATTTCGAGAAATAACTTGATAAATCCACAATTCTTGAAAATTCCGTCAACCAAAGGTGTTCATTTTGGACGAGATGACAGCGGTAACGTCTGTTTCTAAACGTCTATGGCATCTGAAAAAAGCAGAAAATATTACAATTATTCTCCTTGTAACACAAAAATTACTAACAATATCCTTAAAATTAAAACCGACCTACTGACACGGTATCTTCTCGGCTCAACACACAGCGCGTAGACAAAGGACAACCGCCGAACAAAGGCCCTATCTATTGCCAACTTGACACACTTACAGCAACACATCAACAATTTGTTGTCATTACTATCACATACGAAATAGTTGAAAATTCTGAGTAATCGCTATTTTTTGCACAGATCTTGGCTTCAGCGGGTAAAAATGGCGACGCAACTTTCCCTCCCGTCTTGAGCTTGAAACAGACAAAATGGCGGTCGCGGCTTCTGCGTACTGACAAAAAAATCCAGTAACCACTTATTGGGACGTTTAAACGATGTCGCTTTGCAATATAAAATAGTATTTCAACCCCATGTATATATACGGCAGGTCAAATAATGTGACTTATACATGTAACAAAATATATTAACCATAACCGCTTTGGTCGAATCGGGGTTTCAAATACACTCCAAAACATACGGGAAGAAATAGGTAATTTTTGTGCGTACTTACCATTTTCCAGTGCCATTAATATTATATTTGGCAACTATGGCATCTTGTCCTTCAAAATCAATACAATTGGGGTTATGTATTGTCTGTACGCCACCAGGAAAATTGTTAAAAGTCGCAAGCTTTCAAATCCACCATTACACTTGAAAGCCGTACAAGCAAATATGGCCGCCGTCTCATAACAGACGCTAGCCAATTCTTTGGGAGAATTTAGATGTTGATCATGAAGTGCACGTCTCTTTCGGATTTTCGTGTCGTTACTGTCATTTATCAGCGATGAAATACAATTGAATCACATAGCTTTGTATGTGATCTATATGCATGTAATATCCAGATTGATGATACTTACTTCGTAGTCCCGAAAATATTACGAATGTGAAATTCACCTGACATACTTTCTCCCGCCGGATAGCCTTGTTGAAACAATTTGTCCCGTTCTATAGGAAGAAGCGATTTGATTGGCTGATGTTGATAAGTGATATGCTTCGGCTCTGTGAGGGCACTAAATTGTGTATAAAACGAAAACATCCCAGTAAATAAGTTTGGATACTGTTATCAGAATCCCGTCGCATGACTTGTACGAGTGTAATCAAACCGCCTTGAGGTTTATGTAATATATTTACGCGCCACCAGCGTGTATGGAGCTTTTAGAAACGAAGTCTTAGGGAAATGGAATTAATGTAACCCAGTCACACTGTTATTGATATGACTCATAATGTTCAATAATACTACATGCCACAACATCGGGTATAGGATGTAAATTATTTTAAGCACATTAATCAGATCTTTTAGGCGGTTACGTTCTATTTCCTCTATACTTTATATTATGTGTTGTGTCATATCTACCCTTTCTGGGGACAAAAACAGAATCGATTTGTCAATCTAACAAAAAGAGGCTGTGGGTAAGGCTTGAATAATTTTAAGTACTATTAATTTTTATCTCTTTATCGATCTGCATGGAAATTTACACAAGCGATGTATGCCCAGGTAGCAAAACATGTATTGTTGACAAAGTGGCAATAGTTACACAATATTTAATCAACAACACCCCCACTGGGATTTGTTTACAAGTTTATGTCTACTCTGTATGTTTATATGACTGAATGACATATATTCATTAAGCGTTATCATCATTCTACAACATTGCTTTTTGATGATATCTATTTTATAGTTTCTCATAGCTCAGTCACATTTTCAGCGCATAAACCCTCGTTACCGTAATACACAAAATAAATGTTGTTTTATTGGCTCTAAATCACGGGGGCTTTATTCCATAATCTCCACGTGAACACGTAAGGGAATGGTGCGTAATGGCTTTCTTAGACATTAGAGCCACGAGGAATTAAGGATTAGCTCTCCTATTTTAAGTGCAACGTTAGTCGGGTTCTAGCTAAACACCGTTGCCGAAAAAGCCATCGTTGACTGAGTATGTTTGCGTGTTCACTAGTTAATGATTATGATGTTTTAAACCAGAGGGGATTCAAAGTCAGTTTCTGACAGATTTCGTGTTAATTTCGTAATTTCCTCAATCACTGGTTTGCCTGGTCCGGATTGTTTCAAACAATCGTGCTATAGCAGCTCACCAAAGTAACATAACAAAAACAACACCTTAATAATATATTTTCTACCTGGCATATCGTCATTTTGTTTACCAGAAGAGTTAGTGAGTATTTTTTACGCCGCTTTTAGCAATATTCCCGCAATACCACGACGGGAGACACCAGAAATGGGCTTCACACATTGTTCCCATGTGGAGATTCGAACCCGGGTCTTCGGCGTGACAAGCGAACGCTTTAACCACTAGGCTACCCCACCGCCCTTTTTACCAAAAGAATATACCGGGCGCCAATATACTACATTCTTTAGTTTGCATGATTGTTTTAAAATGACAATGTCATGTTATTGCCTTAATAAACAGTATGTTCTCAATGAATTGATTATAAACACAAAAGCAAAGACATCCTTAAGAGAGACGGAAGGTTGTACCGCCTAGTGCCCATTTAGCACCGATCTAGCCGCGGTTAATTGATGCTTTGTAGGAAATTGGATGCTACAAGAGTGAGATGTGACAAATGCTGGGCTGTGTGAGGGACATAATACGAACATGCTAGGTCTGCAGATTAGGCGGGGCATAGTCCATTAAGTGTGCTGAACAGTGGTAAGTGAAGTCGCCGTGGAACAAATCGGGTTGCAATGAAAATTACGGAGTGTGCATTCAGAATCGTTTTAAGAGACCAGATCATTTTTTTTTTCTCAAAATGAATTATGAATACTACCGCTGTATATTTTTTTCTATGCGTCACTCCTATACAGGGATATCACTCTCACACATGCGGCGGCATCCCTTTTCGTCTATTTACATGGCACATAAAAATCATGACGCATGGCGAGGTGATGCTAATATATTTGACTGATAAAAGGTTTGTCTTTCACAGTTTGATGTTGCTCTGTGTTCAAATCTGCGATGTCCTGACATGACGTCGGATAGTAAACAGGGAATATTACCCACACAAATGCAGTTATCTTTATATTATCAACATTCTAAAAGTATATGTAGTTCAGTTTGTTATTACTTTTGTGAAGAGGTAGATCATGAACATCGTAGAAGCCAGTAGGGTCAACGTGACCTCAACGGTGATACACTGTGACGTCATTATCATGGTGACGTCATACGTCAATATCCTTGTGACGTCATTAAACAATACCGTCAACAACAATGTCTGTATTTCGTCAACAATGAAATATGACGTGAACTACGAAGACGATCGAGTGAAATGATTATTAGAAATGTTTCGAATGTTGATTTGTTTTTTTTCGTTCTTGTGTGGATAATTAACGACAACATTGTATGATAAATATGTTGAGAAAAGCTCTGAAAACGTGTGTTGATATGACGTCAACAATGATAGTCTGTGACGTCATTAGTACAGGGCGCCCATTACACATGGTATGAACAATACTTGTAATTTTTTACATCAATGTCAGTACGTGTGAGTCTTTCGATTATACACATGCATTTAATATCGATGGTTTTTTTGGCAAACTATCATTCTGCCATTATGCGCATCGTGGTTATTGGTGGAAAGGAAGAGATATCATTGAGACAAAAAGAAAGAATGCTTCAAAATGTAAACATATTACCAAGACGAAACAGTTCTTTTATTTGACGCATCAGTGACAAGAATTGTGTCCGATGCAAGTCTTATTTTGACTTGTACTAAATATGGTCCCATTTTTTATTTTTCAGTGTAAATTTACTTGCCTTTGCATGTGTTTGTGTCGGGTGCCACAGATGGGTGGGCTACACTCACCTTTTCGCGAACACCTGGAATATATATATATATATATATATATATATATATATATATATATATATATATATATATACCACATATACCGCATTACTTTATTAGAGATTTCTTATGATTATGGAAATGGATTTTGTAGTTTTTTATTTGAACCTGTTATTACGGTACTTCTGACCGGTAACACACGATCATGACTGACAGCATGTAATGTTATGACATGTCATTTGGTAACAAATAGAGTTATAGACAGTATACAACTTCAAATATTAGTCTTACATCATTTGAATAAAATAGAAAGTCAGAAAAGAATTCACCCCGACTTTCCGAATACAAATAGCTCTATTTCTATTTCAGGCTAAGAGATGGAATCAGTACTCTAAGAATATATCTTCTGTTTATTATCTTCATAATATGTTCGATTAGAATCGGACATGTGTCGATTGCGAATTCATGCCATTCGATATAAAAAACCCGTGTCATTTTAGTTTTAAATATATTATTAACATTAATCTTTTCATTTAGAGTTATGTAATAAAACAATATCATCAGGCGTAATTGTAGCATATTTTATGAATGCTGACCGATGACTTTCCGGCACATAAACTGCCGGGCATAAGACACTGTACCCATGCTTGATGGTAGCTCAAATGAAACAAACAAGAAATGGTTATTCGATAGTGACGTGATGAGCATCGAGAAGCAGTCATTGTCAGGACCAGTTTGGGTTGGTTCACAGATACCAAAACATTCAGCCTAGTGATGTTTTAATAACGTTTACAAGTATGTTTTGATCACAACAATTTTCAAGTGTATGCTTTATTTTGCCCAGGTACAATATACACGTCATATATTTTATTTGAGAGGATAATTATATAGATGTATCTTTCCTGTTACAGAACACCAAAAGTTGACACCTTATATAATATCATTCAAATATGATAAGAGTTGAATCATTTTATTGCTGCGGTAGTGATTTAAAGTCAATAAAATATCTTGTTCAGAACCAAACACTTCTAAACAGGATAATGATTGTGTGAAGCATAAATTCTTTCTTTTTTTAAGTAAATGGACTAGAAAGTGAATGTTCATGTTTTCTTGTATAGTAACACTCACCTTTCATAAATTCCATTTACATATTCCCACAGTTTCAATTCAAATACCTTTTCCTATTCACGTGACGAGAGAAACACGGTATGGTCGGCCACAGTACACAACATGGATATCGCATTTATCACATATTATATTTATCAATATTCGAATATTGAATTTGTCATTTCAAATTCATCATTCGTTTGACGACGTTATGCGTGACGTCACAAGAGCCGATAACACAAATCTTGCTATCAGACATATTGCGCCATTCAGAAAAAAACCTATCATTCATGGAGAAGAGAAACATGTTTTTTGTCCATTTATCGCGAATAGCCTTTATTAAACTTTTAAATACAAACTGAGTAAACAAACAAAGTTACCTTTATTGTTAATTATTTTTTACCGTTTATAATAGGAAATACTATGGCTAATGAAATATATACGAATATTCAGCTACTCATTCTATGCCCCATCAGACTTTTCAATGTCTTTGTTATCGTTATTAACTATTTTATGTGCTGACGATAGTATTGCGGTATAGATTAATGGAAATAAACGAGTACCCTCAATCTGTCGCGGTCACCAAGACGGTGCCAACTGACCTAAACACATACTAGTACTCTACATCTCAGAATGAAGTCTTTGACGTCATGTCGTGCGACGTCCAGGGATTCCAAACGTTAAACAGGGGTACTTAACCGAAAGAGGGACACTTATGTACACAGCGGATCAATCACACCCTCTGCGAGGCAACACGGCCCATTATGTAACGAATGTCAAAGT